CGAATCTGCCCAAAAACGACCGGTCGCTTTTACCTGAAGACCGGTCGCTTTAGCACTGTTCATAGGTGATAAATGGGTGATAAAAGGGTGATAGAAAATGCTGTTTGTGTTTTTGTTTAGTTTTCTTGTGTTGTTTCATTTCTTTTACACTTCTTTACTCATTTTTAGTTTCCATTTTGTATTTGTGCATTTGTGGTGTGTCAATTAAGTGTTCTTTACGTACTCAAATTAGAACTTATAGGAAGCCGACAAGTTCTTCGTGGGATCGACCCCGTACTTGTATAATCTATACTTCAATAGACTCGTGCACTTGCGGGTATTTTTAATTGGTTGTTTGCACATTAATTTGTGTCCTCTTAGGAATGCAACAGTGTGCTTACAGGGATGGAGGCAGTCGATCTCCTGCCATATTAAGTGTAACTTTTCATAGTAAACATTCACCAGTTCACCATTTTGAGAGGTGGTAATGGACTAATGACGGAGTTGGTACAGCTTGGAGCTGTTATGAGTGACAGTATATGTCTTCCAAGCTGCATCCCACACCGCATAAGCCATTGAGCAATGATTAAATAAGGCACGTACATTCTTGATCATATTGTTGAAGAGCCATGATTGCACCAAACAGTTGTTTTCATCCCAAGTTTCATAAATGGGGTCGTCAATGGCAGGGGCAGTTTTTTTGGCATTGATAAAACCAGCCATACTACGGGCGGTGATGTCCAAACACACACTATAAGACCATGCAGGGTAGTTAGACCCATCCAACTTTTCTGGAGTAATTTGAGAGGAGTGGTCATGAGAGGAACGAGGTGGTGGAGTTGAGGAGTCGACCTTGGTGGAGTCGGCCGTGGAGTTGGTTAAGTCGTTGATGTCACCCATGAGGTAAATAGGTAAAAAGATGCAGCGGAAGATAACTTAGAACTTTAGCAAACAAGAGTACAAATAAAAATTGTGATCACATCCAATTTTGAGGCAAGGCAAAGTATGAGATAGGAATAATGTAGTAGCGAAGTATGAGCAAAGTTAAGTAGAGACAAGGCAAGGGTAGAGATAGGAACAATATAGTAACAAAGTATGAGCAAGGGTAAGTAGAGATTAGGCAAGAACAAGGTTATACAAAGACAACCAAAATCAATTGCTCTAATACCATGCCAAATAGAATGTAAAACTTGTAGAGATTTCCTGGTTGCAGTTTTTCATAGTTACATTGAATCACTTACAATAAGACATATACAAAGAGAGTTGGCTTCCTCTCCAAGCCCCTAAACAGAAACAAACAAGAGGGTAGCTGGCCTTGGCTTCTAAGCCGTGGAACTCCTAAAGTCAATCCCCTAATTTAGGGAATTAAGGCTACCAACCTTATCCTACCAACTACCAACCTTATTAGGGAACTAAATCCTACCAACTAGCTCATTAATGTACTAACTAACTAACTAACTAACTAACAATAACTCCAAACCCAATTAGAACCGAAAATCAAATTAATAAATCCATAGCCTAAACACAATTCTTTAACCCTAAGAAGCCCATAACCCTAAACACAATTCTTCAAAAGAATATCAAATTAAGAAAATTAGAAGGAATACATACATGTGGTTGTGGGTTTTCAAGGAGGCATGCGTGCCTCAGTTGGCAAGCCATTGCAGTACGGCTATAGTTGAAAAGCTCTGAAATAGTCTGCCACTGAGCTGACATTATTCTAGACAGCTCCCGAAGCTTTGTATCCTCCATTTCGCTTCATTCGTCTCTTCTTATTTGGGGGTTGAGCCACTCAAACCACCGAGATTGGCATTCTCTGCATGTTTTTATTTCAAGAAATCTGACTACCACTTTCCATCTGTGGGTACCGTACCTCTCCCGACCTCTTCTCCCACAGTCCAAGGTCGGGTTAAGATTTTGAACTTCATCTTGAAAAAGAATGGGTTTGGACTTTAGAGAGAGAATAGGTCTGGACTTTTGTTTTGTCAGAAGAAGAAATGCAAAAAGAATTCTGTTTTTGTCAGAAGAAATGCAGAAAGTAAAAGCTCTAGTCTTTTAAAGAAAGGCTCTAGACTTTATATAACCTATTCCACTAGTTTTGTGTTTATTTATGTATTTTTTGAGCTAATGACAAAAGACACTCTGCAGGTTTGGAGTGATTCTCAATATGGACCTCAGGGTATCAATTTTATCAATTTACACCATTACGTTTGCAACATAGTCCAATTTCATCCTTCCGTTAAGTTGACCGTGTGATCAATCATTAAATGCTGATGTGTCTACTGTGGGACTTACTAACCAACCAGTTCCTAAAAAAATTATATAAAATGATAAAATAACATAAGTTTTTTTAAAAAATAAACTTAAAAAATCTCATCCATTTCCTAACCCCTGTTCACCCCCTCAATCGCCATTCTCCTATTCACTCCCTCCATCGCCACACCTTCTGTCATTTCCCATCACAATCATCTCGACCATCCTAAACTCGAGTGCTCAGAAAACCCAGTTCCTCATTTAGGTCCTTTAAGCTTTCACAATGTTGAAACTTCCAACTCCTTTCCCATTTTCCCCAATTTCCCATTTGGGTATTGCTTAAATCCAATTTCCTCAACTGGGTTCAAGCAATTGGGTGCTTTTGAGGCTGTTGAGGTCGAATCTAATGATGCAAATGGAAAAACCCAAATGAGAAAAACCATACATCACATGAAGGCTTTGATTGAAGGCTACAAAAAGGCATGAGGAGAAGAGAGGAGATGAGAGGAGTAGCCAGCCATCATCATCATCCAAATGGGAAAAACCCAATCAAGTAAACTTGTTGTACCGCCATTTGGAGTATTTGGGCAGACAATGTTAAGAAAAAGAGGGATGGGGGCTGGGGTCGAATCTGAAATGCATAGACGAGAAACAAACACTTAATTCCCTCAATTTCTCAGCCCCCAAAAACCCATGGCGCCCAAATCCTTCAACCCCAAAACCCAAACTAGCACCTCCCCCCGACCTCCCATCACCTTCCCCATAGACCCTATCCTCTCCCTCACCTCCTTCCTCTTCCAATCCTCTACCTCCTTCCCCAACAACCTTAGTCTCGCCAATGCCGACACAACTGAAACCCTAACCTTCCTCCAACTCAAATCCCTAGTCTCCAAGCTAGCTCACGCCTTGCTCAACCTCAACATTAAGAAAAACGATGTTGTCCTCATCTCCGCCCCTAACTCCATCCACTTCCTCGTCTGCTTCTTCTCAATCATCGCAATCGATGCCATTGCCACTAGCTGCAATCCTCAATACACCGTCTTCGTGCTTTCAAGTCAAGTCAACGACTGTGACCCCAAGTTTGTCATAATAATTCGAGAACTAGAAATCAAATTGAAAAGCCCAAGAAATGCATACCTGTGATGGGCTGGCTTTTTCAGAGAAGCTTGATGATCCTTCTTGGCCAGAAATTCTCCGAAAAAAGAAAAAACCCAATAACCTCAAAATCTCAACCAATTCTCAAAAGACAAAGAACCAAACTTCTAATAACAATTCGAGAACCAGAAATCAAATTGAAAAGCCCAAGAAATGCATACCTGTGATGGGCTGGCTTTTTCGGAGAAGCTTGATGATCCTTCTTGGCCAGAAATTCTCCGAAAAAAGAAAAAACTCCATAACCTCAAAATCCCAACCAATTCTCAAAAGACAAAGAACCAAACTTCTAATAACAATTCGAGAACCAGAAATCAAATTGAAAAGCTCAAGAAATGCATACCTGTGATGGGCTGGCTTTTTCGGAGAAGCTTGATGATCCTTTTTGGCCAGAAATTCTCCGAAAAAAGAAAAAAAACCCAATAACCTCAAAATCCCAACCAATTCTCAAAAGACAAAGAACCAAACTTCTAATAACAATTCGAGAACCAGAAATCAAATAGAAAAGCTCAAGAAATGCATACCTGTGATGAGCTGGCTTTTTCGAAGAAGCTTGAGGATCTTTCTTGGCCATAAATTCTCTAAATAAGAAAAAACCTCATAACCTTAAAATCCTAACCAATTCTCAAAAGACAAAGAACCAAACTTCTAATAACAATTCGAGAACCAGAAATCAAATTGGAAAGCCCAAGAAATGCATACCTGTGATGGGCTGGCTTTTTCGGAGAAGCTTGATGATCCTTCTTAGCCAGAAATTCTCCGAAAAAAGAAAAAAATCCCATAATCTCAAAATCCTAACCAATTCTCAAAAGACAAAGAATCAAACTTCTAATAACAATTTGAGAACCTGAAACCAAACTTTTTAGTGAAGTTTGATGATCCTTCTTGGCTAGAAATTCTCCGAAAAAAGAAAAAACCTCATAACCTTAAAATCCCAACCAATTCACAAAAGATAAAGAACCAAACTTCTAATAACAATTCGAGAACCAGAAATCAAATTGAAAAGCCCAAGAAATGCATACCTGTGATGGGCTGGCTTTTTCGGAGAAGCTTGATGATCATTCTTGGCCATAAATTCTCCGAAAAAGGAAAAAACCTCATAACCTTAAAATCTCAACTAATTTTCAAAAGACAAAGAACCAAACTTCTAATAACAATTCGAGAACCAGAAATCAAATTGAAAAGCCCAAGAAATGCATACCTGTGATGGGCTGGCTTTTTCGGAGAGGCTTGATGATCCTTCTTGGCCAGAAATTCTCCGAAAAAAGAAAAAAACCCCATAACCTCAAAATCCTAACCAATTCTCAAAAGACAAAGAACCAAACTTCTAATAACAATTTGAGAACCAGAAACCAAACTTTTTAGTGAAGTTTGATGATCCTTCTTGGCCAGAAATTCTCTGAAAAAAGAAAAAAAAACCCCAAAATTCTCTAAGGCCCATAACCCTAAACACAATTCTTCAACCGAATATCAAATTAAGAAAATTACAAGGAATACATACCTGTGGCTGTGGGTTTTCAAGGAGGAATACGTGCCTCAATTGGCAAGCCATTATAGTACGGCTGCCGTTGAAAAGATCTAAAATAGTCTGCCACTGAGCTGGCATTATTCTAGAAAGCTACTTAAGCTTTGTATCATTTATTTGGCTCCAGTCGTCTCGACTTATTTGGGGGTCGAGCCGATTAACCCACCGATATTTGCATTCTTCCGTGTTACAATACATCTAGCTACGGCTTCCCATCTGTGGGTGACATACCTCTTCACAGCCTCGATCAACTCTTCATTTTCTCCCACAGTCCAAGGTCGTCCGGGTAAGTTTTTGAACTTCATGGGTTTGGACTTTAGGTTCAGGACTTCTGTTTTGTCAAAAGAAGAAATGCAGAAAGCTTCTATTCGACTACCTCTTTGTTTATTTATTTATTTATTTATTTATTTTTCCAATAACTATTTTTTCGGGATGTGTGCGAAACGTTTCATGCATAATGCCTCGCCGGTGTGAGCCTACGTAGCCTATGCTACTACTGAAGGAGAGAGAATGTGGGCATTTAATGCTTGGGCAGCTGGGCTTGTAAGAGGCCAGTGTAAGTCTACGTAGCCTATGCTTCTACTGAAGGAGAGAGAATGTGGGCATTTAATGCTTGGGCGGGGTAAAACAGGAAAAGAAAGAATATTACATGGTTTTCTCCTAACACGTTTAACACTGTAAAATGCTTTTAAAACAAGTAAAAGAAATTTGGAAACTGATGGCTGCAGCAACACATTTCAATTGTGACAGGATAAATTATGTGATGATCATTGTTTGTACCATATCTGACCCTCCACTCATATCGTGACACGTGGATAGAGAACAAAGCTAAGGCCAACGCTGCGACTCACACTGATAGATCATTCGAGTGTAAATTGGCATCGGTTGTCGATTCAATCGTCAGGTCCTTCAAATGGCAAGCTCTTCCTCGCGCCTCGCCGAACATATCATCTGTACCATTTACCGAACGACCCTCAAGCAAGCGATCGATATGCCTTGACGATTCTACGAGACAACCTCGAACTCCCCGCTTAGATATTTGCAGACTCATGTCGAGCTCAGGAGGCACTCCCACGAGTCCCACATCGAAACTAAGTACTAAGAGCATAACTTCACTCTCTATAAATAGGGCCTCCCTTGCCCTAGATGAGGGTAAGACTTTCAACTTGACTTTTAGACTTGGAGATTCGGCATCTCAAGAAGGAATGTGCTCATACCTAAGGACCAATCATTCCTTAGTCCGTATTACTTGTAAGTTGCTTCTATTTCTATCTGTTTTAGTTTTAGTATCAACAGTTTGGCGTGATCATAAATATAAAAACGAAAGAATGCTAGTCTTGGTAAGCTTTTGGATTTTTCAAAATAAAGCTAATAAAATCCATATGCTAGATTGTGTCACGTACAATACGTAAATTTACTATTTTCACGTACTTATGAGTATGAACGAACTCTCAACTATAAGAATATAAAGATAAAAGTTGAGACTCGAGAGTATAATCTTAGCCAAAAGAGCTATTAAAAAAAAAAGTGAGCTTATCCACCCATTGTCAAATAATTTTAAATTTAATACTCACGTTCTAATACCAACCAATGAAACTAACTCTTACGGAACGAGAGGCAAATGGCATGAAAATAAACCCATTTTGGTAAGTAATGCTCTTCATTGCTATTTATTTTTCTGACAAAGCAAGTTTCATATTCATAGGTGAAAAGAAAGAATATTATTATATTTTGAAAATTTCGTGTTTTTCTCCTAACACGTGTAACAATGTACATGAAGAAAGTACACAGTCCCTTGCTTTTGAGCAACAACGATTGTGAATAGCATACCTCTTTCACTAACTATCAATTAATCTCAGTGGTTAATGCCCTCCTAATTGTTAATTTATCTGGGTTGCCTATGGTGGTGGGACGCTCAAAAAATATTTGCTTCCAGAGCCTTAAGGAGCGTGTTTGGAAGAGGCTGCAAGGTTGGCAGAAAAAGACCCTTAATATGGCAGGCAAGTAAATTTTAATTAAAGTAGTGGCCCAAGCTATTCATACTTACACTATGAGTTGTTTCCTACTACCAAAAAACTTTTGTTCTGATCTCGAGCAGCTTATGGCAAAGTTCTGGTGGGGTCAGCATGGTGATAAGCGTAAAATCCATTGGATGCGTTGGGGCAAGTTAGGTATGCCAAAGAGTGAGGGTGGGTTGGGTTTTAGGAGCCTCTATGCGTTCAACCTTGCTATGTTGGCTAAGCAAGGGTGGCGCCTCCTACATAACCCAGATTCTCTGATGAGCAAACTTTTGAAGGCTATGTATTTCCCCCACTCCTCTCTACTGGATGCGGCTTCGGGTCCCAAGCCATCGTTGGTTTGGAGTAGCATTCTCTTTGCTATGAAGGTTATTACCCGTGGTTCTCGGTGGCATGTGGGAAATGGGTCCGATGTTAAGGTTTGGGGGGACCGATGGCTCCCTAGGCCAACCAGCTTTGTAGTGGTTACTCCTCCTGTGGTGGGGCTTGAAGAGTTAAAAGTTAGCAGCCTTATTTGTGAGGCGAGCCAACCCCAATGGAATCTGCCACTTCTTACGTCCCTGTTCCTGCCTCTGGATGTGGAGGAGATTCTCAAGGTGCCTTTGAGTCTTCAGTCTCCCCTGACTGCCTCATCTGGCATTTTGACCATAAAGGAAAATTTTCTGTTAAGAGCGCGTACCGTGTGGCTCTTGCTTTGTCGACTGACCTCGACCCACCATCTTCCTCGGTTTCGGGCATGGCCCAGTTGTGGAAGTGGGTTTGGAATGCAAAGCTCCCTAAAAAGATTAAACTATGTACCTGGCGTGGTATCCATGATATCCTTCCAACATGTTGTGCTCTTGCTAAGCGGCGGGGCTCTTTACCGCATCTGGGGTGTGGTGTTTGTGGCGGTGCGGAGTCAACGCTGCATATCCTCCGGAATTACCCATTTGCTCAGGCGGTCTGGTGTTTGCTCTCGGGTCTTCTCTCCTTTGATAGGCACGCTGACCTACCCTTACCAGATTGGCTCTTGGTCTTTTGGTGTGAGTTGCCGTCAGATGCTCGTGCTCTGTCCATGGTTGTGATGTGGGCTTTGTGGTCTAACCAAAATGATGTTACTTGGCGTAGCACGCGGCGGCGGCCGCATGATCTCGTTCAGTTTGTGCTCCAATATATGGAGGAGTTCCGGTGTGCTAATAATCAACCTACAGGTTGTCATGACTCCCTAGGTGCGAGTTGCTGGAGCTGCCCTCCTTCTGGCACAATCAAAATCAATTTTGTTGGGGCCTTCCACACTGGGTCGACTGGAGGGGGTGTGGGGGTAGTCATTAGGGACGAAAATGGGCAATTTCTGGCTTCCCTTGCGAAGCGGGTGTTGTATGCTAATTCTGCGGAACATGTTGAATGCCTAGCGGCTCGCGAGGCTGTGGGGTTCTGGCGGAAGATGGGGGGGCAGTCGGTCATATTTGAGGGTGACTCGCTCAATACTATTCAGGATGTTCTCTCTTCTGGGGTAAACTTGTCCCCCTTGGGGTAGCTTATCGAAGATATTCGATCTAGCCTGCGGGATCACCGGAGGGATTGTTTTAGTTTTGTTCGCCATTAGGCCAATGGTGTAGCTCATTGTATAGCTAAATTTGTTGTTAACTGTTCGCACCCATGTGAGTGGGTCGAGGTGCCTATCCAGGCGAAAAAACTTGCCTGCACCGGGGATAGGACTGTTGTCCTATCCCCGGTGCATGCAAGTGTTTCTCCTATCCAGGACGCCCTTGAGGTCGATAGTTGTACTCGAGGTCAGGCTCTTCGCCCCCCTCATCCGTTTGCTTTGTTATTATGAGTATTCTCCTCTTATGCGAGGATTTCTTCAAAAAAAAAAAAGGCACCCTCAAAATAAATTTAAAAAAAAAAAAAAGGCCCCCTCAAAATAAATTTAAAAAAAAAAAAAAGGCCCCCTCAAAATAAATTTAAAAAAAAAAAAAAGGCCCCCTCAAAATAAATTTAAAAAAAAAAAAAAGACAATCCATTATTCAAAATTAATTAGTCACCCTTTGACTTGGTCAACGAAAATGTATGTTATGCAACAATGGGAACACACTGCATAAGGTATGCTGCAGGGCCACAATATATTCAATATGTCACACTAATCTTCTTCTATCATCATAATTCAAGAAAGAAAACCAATAATTTACACTTGGTCTTCAATTCAGCCAATCATGAAATTGGCATTCAAGCTAGAGCAACTTTATTTCTTGGTGATCACACTGCGGCTCCTTCAAAGAAAATTCACATACTCGCCCCCTTACGAAGACCATTGTGATTCTTCTCGAAGGCAGCTTTTGTCATCAGCCTCATGCCAGAGGTTAGAGCACCTGATGGAGCCAAGCCAGCAAAGAAGGACTGCAGAAGCAGAACATCAAAACAGCACTCACTAAAATAGGAAACTGTAAGGTTAATGTTACAAACGATAACAAAAGTGGTCACAAACATTGAAGAACTTTGAGAAGAAGACCAATCTGGATGAATTCAGGGCGCATAAAAGACAGGTCTCCGACCATTCCACCTTGAACATGGGCATCTGCAACCCCAGATGCACCAACACATGCACATATACCAATATAAGGTGCAATCGCTCCGCTCCCAGACATAGCTAAATCCACCTATTACAAAGGGGAAAGTGAAGTTAAAAAACATGGAGTAGAAAGCGGCGCAAAAATGGAGTATGTACGTAGGCGTTACTTGCCACTATTAGCATCAAGGTCCCAAGGAAGAAGAGAGCATATTCAATTAAGTTCCTCTTCCTGGTGTCCAACTTTGCTTCATGGTATGCGAGTGTTACCATAGTAATAAGTGCAAATGGTTGATAAACAAGGGTATGAACCTGCAACGGGTGGTAACTCTATAAAAGAGAAATGTTCATCAGATTTTTAATCAGAGACTTTCATTTCATGGAACAGAGGTTCCCACTACTAATAGTCCTAGTTGGATAGAAACATAATTGGGTGCAGGGCTGATGAAATTTCGAAAGAAGTTCAATTCATCAACGCTACACTCAATGACGTTACTTCAATCTGGAACCTCCACTGCTCTCACCATCTGCATGATTGATTTTGAGCCACCCTTAAGTACTATATATATATATATATTGCCTGTGGCAACAGATGACATTAAAGAATGCAGTACACCAAGACCAAGTTGTTGTTGTATTGAATCTTGACCTTGTACTACCATTTAAATTTCTAACCTCAACTCTGTTACTTGCTGCTCTCTTCTACCAGTACTGTTTTATGGTGCTGAAAACTTGTTGTACTACACATCTCCATCCTATATTAAATTAACTCCAAAGCTCTGCTTTCTCTCTCTCTCTGGTATTTTCCTTTACTATCATGATTAGATTTAGTCTTTATCATGTTTCATTAAGTAGTTTGAGATATTGAAGTAAAAACCACTGATGAGGACTAGGTCCAATCTTGAAACTCTGATATATAATTCTCATATCCTACCTGCCAGTTATAGGTGAAATAGATGCTTTGAAATTACAAGCCAACAACCTAATTTCAAACCAGATTCTTACAACAAGTAGTTATGTACATTGCACTCCATTAAGATTTCATTTATAACAATTGCCTAAATTACAAACTTAGATTTCAGTCTATATCCATTGCCTAAAATACAAACTTATGTGCGTGAAAGAATTACAATGATCAAGAGCAACAACTAAAATCTTATCTTTTACGAAAAACAATCTTACCCTCAGCATCTTCATGCATGATGGATAAAACTTGATTAGGAGGAATGTGTTGCCAAACTTGAGGCTTTCCATACAAATGTCCCATTTGAGAAAACTTATCAGCCGCTCTGTTGCCTTCTCTATAAATATGAGTCAGGATGCAGTTGTTGATCTCTGGTATGATCAAGTTTATGTGACTAATATGCCTTTGCGCTTCTGCGCATCGAATCTGTCTCCTTTGAGCCATGATTTGAAGCAACGTCTTTACATCCCCTTCGAGCCGAGCCATACATTGCTCCAACCATTTTCCAGTACCAACTCAAGGCCTCTTCTGAGTGCAGCCAGTTCTGCAATCATGCTATTGGCCCTTCCTATAGGTTCAGCATAGCCAAGTAAGAAGTCAGCCTTATGATTTCTAAGTAGCCCTCCAATGCTTGCTTTTCCTGCTTTGCCTTTAGAAGATCCATCAAAGTTCAGTTTTGTCCAGCCAATTTTGGGTTTTTCCCATGTCACTGGAATTGGCGCCTTGTGCAGACTCCGGAACAGACAAACCGGATTTCATGAAATTATTCCTTTATCTATTGTTTGAGTTTCTAATATTAGGCAAATCTCTGTTATTGCATTAGAATTGGTTTTCATTTCATCCTCCATTACAAAGTCAAGTATACTATACACGTACTAAAATAACATAAATCTAATCAAGATGAGAACACACACTTACATTTACATACACACTTACAAGCGGCAATCAAGTATTAATTAAACTAGCCTAACTAGTAGTAATTCGAATGGGACGTATATAATATTAACTATGAACATCAAATTCAGACCAAATTAGGGAAGGTGCAACTTTTCTTCTCTTGCCTCATCGGCTAGCTTCGAAACCTTTCGAATTAGTAGCTAGCTGCCTTGCATGCATGGAGTGCGCTGGCTTTGTTTTTCGGTGGAGGATTGAGGACGCACAAGCAATGGCCAGCTTTTCTTTTCTTTTTTGCAACATTCTCTTGATGGCTCGTCTGGTTCTAGTAGTACTAGTAGTATAAGTGGTTACACGGCGCACGTGGGAATGCGAGGAGGAGGAGGAGGAGGCCGCCAGTTTGTGTCGAGTAAGTATTGGTGTCGGCCACCACGGGAACACCAATGGGAAGACAGGTCTAGCAGAGTGAATCTTACCATAATAACACGGGATGGCCGAAACCTCCGCTAGCCTTGCTTCGCGAATGTTGCACATGATGATGTGTTGAGAAAACTCTAAAAACAAGATATCATCATCATTTGGGTGGAAAGCGAGCACCATAACCGTGTTAAGCCATTTGTAATTATATTTCCATGTTATCATTAAGTAGTTTTCCTGAAGCATATGTAACAGGTTAACTCTGCCTACCAAACACCATCTGCCATTGTCATTGCATGCAGATGCAGCGTCGTCCGTGTCCATGTCCTTGTCCATCTGGTGGTCATCTTTCAACTCCCAAACACTCACATCACCATCAGTATCACCAACATACGCGGGGGAGCGCTGGCACATTCGCAAACGCCCTCTACTAGACACACCCATGAAATCAAATGTTCTTCCATAATCCGACTCCGACTCATCTTGAGGTTTATCAATGAAATGGAAACAATATTTAGCCGAGTTGGAGCTGTCGTTGGAGTAGGGATCCAAACCAATAACAAAGCCATCACTAGAGCTCCACCAGTAGAGCATTCCATTGTGCGCAACCCCTGCATTGCTATGCAAGCTATTAAAACAAAAGCTTCTTGGGCAGGATACAACTGACTCTGTCCATCTACCAGTCTCGGAGGAGAACATTTCCATGTTGAACTCGAAGGATTTCTCTGGACACTGAGGAATTATTCGCACAACCTTGTACCTGTACTCAACATTAAGCCGGATTCTACTACATGCATCACTTTCTTCTTCTACTTTTTCTTTTCGGTGGTCTTCCTCCTCACATTGCTGCTTCTTATAATTATAGTAGTAGTAGGGTTCGCAGATGAATCCCACTCTTACTTCCTGGTGGCATCGAGGAGCGGGAGGAAGAGCATCCCATTGCCTGATGTATGGATTGCAAATGTAGTAATCACGTTGAAAACACATGGTTGCACAGCATAAAACTAGGTCGTTATACGCTCCTACCACAATTGGTTCATACTCTGGTGTGTTGATAGGCCCTTGAAAACAGGGGAGGAAATTAAAATTCATGTTGCGTGTTAACGACAATAGAGGATTAGAGGAGGACGTTACAAAGAATTCCCTTGGTTGCCTTGGATTCATGAAGATAAGAGTGCGTGGGATGGGCTTTTGGTTCTCACTTTGTACACATAGAAAACGGCGAACGAAATAAGGATTAGAAGAAACTAGACTGAACCAACGTTTGGACACGCACAAGCATTGAGCCGCAGATGCAAGGGGAAGTCGACAAATGATTTCTATCAATACAAGGTCAGGGAGATGATCAAGATTCAACATGCTGGGGTTTAAGTGAGGCTCAGAGTGTGGTTCAAGATCAAGAGATTGGGATATTCTCTTTCTTCTTTTGGCAGCACAAGCATCACTATCCCCAGGTCTCGTGGCGAAATTGTTAAGACTCATCATTGATGTGCAGATTGATTGCAATTTGCAGAGATACATATAATAAGACTCGTACCCACAAGCTCTATATATAGTGTTCTATCTGACGAAAGTGAAATAGGAATAGGAAAGATATCCAAATCCAACAACAAGTAGGAAACGAATCAACAAGAAGTAGAAGAACTCTAGAGTTTCTTTATTTATTACCCTTAGAAAATTAATTATTCTTCCTATATCAATAGGGAAAACAATGAATTTTCCTTTTTTATTCCTTCCTATATCAATAAGGAAACTACTTATCTGCATCAATACACTGAAGATTTGGTCCTCCTCTGCCATATGCATCGTTTATATGCCCTGGCCCTAAATAAATTCACAAACAAGAAATTAAGTACCAACAGATAAGAGGGAGAGAAAGGGAGCAATATGATGATGCATATACGGCATATGTAACCTCGAATCATGTCCAGAATAGCAATCGACGCTGTTCAAGGTTCACCAACAGAATCCAAAAGAGATTTTGCCATTCAGGAAGTCCATTTACTAAAAAGTGCAATGCTTGTAAAGTTGTAAGAAGAAAATGGTAAGCTTAATCTATGCATAAGATCCTGAAGATAAATGCACTGGATTAGTGTGGGTTTCAGACTAATAACATTGCCAGTCAAATGATCAACCAGAAGCCTAGCCAGGGGCGGCCCTGGGGTGGCGCAAGTGGCGCCACTGCACAGGGCCCCCGATTCTTGAGGGCCCGGAAAAAAAATTCTTTATATTATATATATATTATTATTATAAGAAATGTATATATACTATAGCATGCTAATTTTTTGCATAAAAGCGTATGTGGTCGAGTTGGCTTTCTAGCGCGCCTCTACTTAACAGAGCCAGAGTTCGATTCTTAGTGAAGTCAATCAATTGCCTTTTTTTTTTTTTTTTAGCATTATAAAAAGCTTTACATAATTAAATATATCCCCCAAAGACTTTCTACTCCTATCCTATAGTTCTTAGAAAGAAAAAAAAGTTTTCTCCTCTAAGAAAAGTACTTTCTTCATTCAAAACAAAACAAAAAAAGCTTCATGACTTCTTCTTTCTCTTAAACTATGATTTTCTAGTAAGTAATCATCATCATTCATCAATCTCTCTTGGTTCTTTTTTCAATCCTTTGAAATTTTTTGTTATTATTTCAATTTCAAGAATTTCAACACTAAAAAGAGAAAACCCTAATTCCTAAATTCATAAAGACCACTCAAAATCAAATAGGCATATTCAAATCTCAATTCAAATTCAGGTATGTATCTAAATTTCAATCTATATATTACATGACTTATTTTATTAAATTATTATCATGTTGATGATTGGTTATATGAGAACATAGTTTTTAGAAATATTTATCTATTTCTTGTTGGGGTTTTCTTCCAGGTTATAGGGTTTTGGAATTTTTCTTTGTAATCTAAACATTTCACCTACTAGAAAATACGTTTTTGGATATACAAAACGACTTAGTTAGTCATTACATGTTTATTGATGGTGACTTTTAGTTCTAAAAAAAAATTGTTTATGACATTAAGTTATGGCAAATTTTTATTTATAGTATTTTTCATATTAAATTATGTGAGACCCCAATTTAAGTTTCGCACAGGGCCCTCAAAATCTCAGGGACGGCCCTGAGCCTAGCTAGCTAATGCTTACCCTCGTTGACATTCCATCCATACCCTACGAACTTGCTTACGTGGCACAACTTCATTGGTGGTGATCCGAACGCACCCGGTTCGTTGGGTGAGGACAAAATATGGGCTATGATCTTATTGGGCTGTCTCTGTCAGCTCGAGCTTACCTAGGCCATTAGAGTCCGTTAACAGAGGTTACAGACAATAAACAAATGAATAATTATTAAATCCCACAATTAATTATTTCTCTCTTCCTTGCTGCTTTTGCTAGGCAAGGCCTTGGGTTGGGCCTTCTCTCTCCTTCTCTCTCTCCCTCAGGCTGCTCAACCTCCATATCCAGCTATCTCAGACCAAGCTCCTTCTGTGTCCATGGCAGATCCAGCCTCCAAACATTAAAAGTTTAAATATTTCCTTTAAAGGTTTCTGCTTCTCTCAAATCTCATATCCGGATCCGTACGGCATTTCTCAGCTCGAGCTCACACTACTTAAACCAGGCTCCGAGCTCCGTTTTGCTTCATGGGTTCGAAAAGAAAAAAGTCCGATTCACCGGACCCGGACGAGCCGAACCGGGTAGGGTCGGATTTTCCAGACGAGGTTTTGGAGCAGGTCCTCGGCATGGTGAAGTCCCGCAAGGACCGGAGCTCGGTCTCGCTGGTGTGCAAGGACTGGTACGACGCGGAGCGCTGGTCCCGCCGCCAAGTTTTCATCGGAAACTGCTACTCGGCGTCGCCGGAGATAGTGACCCGGCGGTTTCGGAGCATCCGGAGCGTGACCCTGAAAGGGAAGCCCCGGTTCTCGGACTTCAATCTGGTTCCTCCGAACTGGGGCAGCGATGTTCAGCCTTGGCTGGAGGTGTTCGCCAGCGAATACCCGCTTCTGGAGGAGCTGAGGCTGAAGAGGATGACGGTGACTGATGAGAGCCTTGAGTTCTTGGCTGTTTCGTTTCCTGGGTTCAAAGCTCTCTCGCTTCTCAGCTGTGATGGGTTCAGCACAGATGGCCTCGCAGCCATTGCCACTCACTGCAAGTAAGTGTCTTTCAATTTGGCCCCTTTGGAAGTTTTGATTTTTGTTATTGGGTTTTGGGTTTCCAGAATTGAGATCTGGGTTGCGGTGGTTTGAGTTTCAGAAAGCACAAAACTTGATCATGGATTTTATTAAATTTTTAATTTTTTGACCCTTAAAACTCACAAGTAGGGGTTTTTTTAGTTGGTAAATATCCTTTTAAAACATACAATAAGTAATTTTCTGCACTTACACGTAGACTGCGGAAACTACAACCAAGTACCCAAGGAATAACCCAGAAACTGAAATGATTCTGTTATTCTTTTTCTATCTCTTTCTCTTGTGGCGACGTTTGAACTGTTAATCCAAAGTCTAAAAGAAACAATTCATTTTTCTGGCTAGAATGTTTCACTTATATTCTACAATAACCACCGCCCAAATTTGGTTCACATGTTGTTCTGGCAAAAAAGAAAGATAGGTAGGTCAATTAATGAAAAAAAAAATAGTTAATTGCACATAATCGAAGACAGATGTTCAGAATTTTGATCTCAATAAAGTATTTTGCTTTTCAAATTTGTCAGATTTTGATTCAACTGTTGGTGATCATGAATTTCAAAGCTGTTCGAGATAATTAAAATTCCCATATTGAGCTTATAGTTGACTTAAGCTTTATGCTTAACTTTAGTTGAAGAAAATAACTAATATCCCATCCTAATTTGGTTTCAGGAATTTGACTGAGCTGGACATACAGGAGAATGAAATTGATGATAAAAGTGGCGGATGGCTAAGTTGCTTCCCCGAAACTTTCACATCTTTGGAAATACTGAACTTTGCCAGCCTCAATAGCGATGTCAATTTCGATGCTCTTGAGAAACTTGTACGCAGGTGCAAATCATTTAAGGTGTTGAAGGTTAATAAAAATGTAACCTTGGAACAGCTACAGAGGCTTCTTACCCATGCTCCTCAGCTTCTGGAGCTAGGCACTGGCTCATTTTTGCAAGAGCTCACCACCTGTCAGAATTCACAACTTGAAAGAGCATTTAGCAGTTGCAATAATTTACACACGCTCTCTGGTTTATGGGAAGCAACGGCCCTGTATCTTCCAGCTCTGTATCCTGCATGTACAAATCTCACTTTCTTGAATTTGAGTTATTCTGCTTTGCAAAGTTGGGAACTTGCTAAGCTTCTTGCTCATTGCCCACGTCTACGGCGCCTTTGGGTAAATTTCATTCTGCATAATAATTTCCTCATTTGAGAAAGTTAATCTATTAAGGTAGATGAGAAGAAAAGACACTTCAATCTTTGCCATAATGACATTATAGCTTAAGCTCTGTTTAAATAACTTATCTATTTTTTTCTGAACCACTGCAAATACTTCATCCATATCTGTTGAAAGAGAAGTCTTGTTGACTCATGGTATCAAATACTTGATACAGGTCCTGGACACAGTGGAAGACAAAGGGTTGGAGGCTGTCGGATCTAACTGTCCTTTGATTGAGGAACTCCGTGTTTTCCCTTCTGATCCTTATGGTGATGATATTATCCATGGGGTGACTGAATCTGGGTTTGTTGCTGTGTCTTATGGTTGCCGAAGACTCCGCTATGTCCTTTACTTTTGTCGGCAGATGACTAATGCAGCTGTAGCAACTGTTGTAAAAAACTGCCCTGATTTCACCCACTTTCGTCTCTGTATAATGAACCCAGGGCAACCAGATCACATAACAAATGAGCCCATGGATGAGGGTTTTGGTGCAGTGGTGAAGACTTGCACTAAACTCCAAAGGCTTGCAGTTTCAGGTTTATTGACCGACCGCACATTTGAATACATTGGAGAATATGCTAAGAATTTGGAAAGGCTTTCAGTAGCTTTCGCTGGAAAAAGTGATTGGGGGATGCAGTGTGTGCTGAATGGTTGTCCAAAGCTCAAGAAACTTGAGATAAGAGACTGCCCATTCGGGAATGCAGCTTTGCTTTCAGGTTTTGAGAAGTATGAATCTATGAGATCACTTTGGATGTCAGCCTGCAATGTGACAATGAACGCTTGTCGGCTATTGGCAAGTGAGATGCCAAGATTGAATGTTGAGGTAATGAAGGATGATGGGAATGATGATGATCAGGCTGATAAAGTCTATGTTTACCGTTCTGTTGCTGGGTCAAGAAGGGATGCCCCACCTTTTGTTCTCACTTTCTGAAGGTTGAAAACCTATTGTGCTCACCCTTTGAAGCTTACAAAATACATGGTAATCTCTCTCTCGCTCTCACACATTCCTGGGGATCTTACCACAGTCAGCAATGACAGTGTGTGCGCTTGCAAATATTCATCGAGTTAGTTCCGTATCTTATATGTGGTTACACACACAGGTACCTTCCATCATCAGGTTACATGGTCTTTAATATCCTCCTAGGGGATGAAACTATTTCATGAGCCCTGCCTGTGCGCATGTTCAGGCTGTTCATGTGTTTCTATCATGTTCATGTGTTTCTATCATCAATCCACCAGTTCCTATGACCTGAGACCAATATTGTTCATACAACCTCAAGTTTCTGCAGAGGACATTTGAAGACATTGGGTTTGATATTTTTACTTTGGTTCAGCTTAATAAATGGAAAGTAGAGAAAACGAAGGATGATAAATTACTGAACTTGGAATTTGTTCATGTATTATTCATGATATACAAATTCAAGGAGAACAGGAAGGCAGTAAAGATTTATGAAACAGAGCTTTATGCCTTTACAGCTTCCAATGGCGGGATCATATTTGCTTCAGCAGCAAGATTGGCTGTACCCCTGAAAAGCAAGAATGCAACGCTACCAATCAAGAAATGGATGAAGCAGCCTTGGCTGTGTGTCACAAACGAACCAAAATCTGTTCCTACTATGCACTGCCACCCAGTCCCGTATGACTCATCGAATTCCTGCATGGAAACAAGCACAGCAAAAGACACATGAATTTCAAATGATTTAGTGATGATTCAGTGCTGAGGATATACTGGAAAGAGGAGCTGACCTTCTTTATGAATTGGGCGATTTCAGTAGGTTCAGTGACATCAAATATATCGAGAGCCTTTGCAGCTAAATGGAGCGCGTCTTGCTGCATTGTTTGAAGCATGTCAGTCTCGTTAACGACGGCTTTGCCTTCTAACATGGCTGCAGAAAACCTGCCTTTGAGTTGCTGATGTTGAGATTGGTGAAAGAGCTAAAAACAGATGAAGCAGTCTAGATTGAAGGCACAGGCAAGCGGACTATATGGAAATTGGAACTTGAGTTTCTACACAAGTCCAGGCTTTGTGATCATTCTCAAAGAATTAATGCAATGGAATAAAGCCTGGTGGTCAGGAAACGGACAAGCTGATTGGTCATGTAAGATGGGGACATGGAAGATGCATTGCTTGTGCACTTGTTCTTGCATCTGGTTTGATCAATGGCTCAGAATATGCGGTAGCAAAGGGCATTTTTAGTTTGGGGTCCACATTATCTTGGAGATGCAGGACGTTTGTGGTTGCATAACGAAGACACTTCCCGTGAATGTCATGGATTATGTTGTGAGGTTGTTAATGAGCTATCTGTTTGCGTGTACTTCTGTTTACTTTTCTTCTCTTTGTTGATGCGAAGACCTTTGAGCTTCTGACATATTGAGGTTCATGAGAAAAGAACCAGAAAAAGTGATCAATAAAACATAAAATTGCTTCTCATTCAGGTCCTCTGCTTGCATCAATGAGCCATCTGTGTTTTTTTTGGGGATTCAAGGCACGCATGCACTTTACTGAATGGACAATTAAAATTTTTAAGACAAGTGTCAGGCTCAAAATTCATCAACAAATATTTTGAGTGGAATGAATCTCAAATGCTTCAATAAGCAACACCATTTGTGTTTGAAGCTAAAGAAAGAGAGACAAATGGCGGAACTGAAATCTGTCATCATATTAAATAAACATATAACAGATGAATATCCAATCCTAAATATTTCAAATGTGAGATTTTTTACCTTAACAACTACAACACCAACTAAAATATCATCAAACGCTTTTATAATTATTCAGTGTTTGATTTGAAAGTTTGGAGAAAATCAGATTCTTTAATAATTAATAGTGCCATACTTAAGATTTTATATTGATGTCTATTCATCAGAAAAGTTATAAAATAACTTTTAGAAGGAATAGTTTGGTAAGAGGTCCATTCTTGAGATCATGTCTTGGAAATTATACTTGCAAAGTTCATGTGGATTGTTGCTTGTGTAAAAATAATAATTTCAAATGTGACATTAGTAATGGTGTGAAAGGGTGTGAAGGGCGTAGAGAGACAATGTTATATATGGTTTACGTATCTCTTTTTAATTATAACTCTAGTGTAATTAAGTAGGTTGTGGTAAGCTGTCCAATTCAAATCTTAAGCAAATAATAACCATACAAGGCTTTTAGCAGATGCCGGTCCCATGCACGATTTCTAAGTCGCACGTCATTTTCTTGGAATGCAAGTTGTAAATGACAACGTTCTAGTCTACATGTTTGTTATCATGGCTATTTGTCAAGATCGTGAAAGAGGTGATGAACACCCAACCCAACACCTACATGTTTGAAGGCTTGAGCACAGTCCACAAGTCACCAGTCTCTCACATAAACATATTCGGTGTCGGTGCTCGATTTAATTTTCATTCAAAACCCTGTAATTAAGTAGGAAATTTGGGATGGATGTTTGGAAGCAAAAAATATATTGGTTATAATCTTGGGTTAAGCATAATTAAGCAGCTGTTTGATGTTTAGCAACAAGTGACAGAACTCAAAAAAAGCAGAGTTTTAGACCCTTTTGATTGCCAAATAGTTTGAATTGTGAAACGCATCCATGCGATTGGCAAACACCAAATTTGTATAACTTTATGAAGCAAGGTCTTTTGCTTTATTTTGATTTTTGATCATGAGTCACCTAGATAGCTAGCTACTTGACCAGCATTGCATTTGCAATTTTGCATTGGAGTAGATCTGATCAACAGGGGCAGCACGCAGCAGCAATATATTGTTATATGTACTTTTCTCTTCAAAGCTAAGGTATATATCATAACTGTGCTACTAGCTGTATCGAATTTCTCTTGTTCCATACTCAAAGTGTCCCAAGCAATCACTTTCGTGCCTGTGCATCCAAGTGCCATTTCTACCTAACACTTCGTGAAGTATTAAATAACCAACATATATAGCACATACGGTGTTTGGCACTGATATACTTTTAGTAATATATATATAAGGTTATTGATTATAAAGAACATGACGTGAAATTACTAAGAAACGGCTTAAAAGTGAGTCGCGTATTAAACACCTGAGTTTATTTGACGGCACATAGCGTTTAAAATTAGGAGTTTATATGCAACATCTATAGCTCTACATGTAAGATATGGGGTCCCAACCCAAACCCTAAAACTGGGTTGAGACCATGTGCAGATTCAATTATGCTCAAGGGCCAAAATCTCTGCTATTGATTGTTGCTCTTTATCTGACGGAGTGAGTGGCTGAGGGAAGCATGGTGGCCAACTAATTACAAATATTTATAAAAAGTTGAATAGATAGTTGACCCCAAAAAGAGCTTAACACAATTAAATAAAACCAAATTGTTGCAAATCATACTAACTATCATGACAAAATAACATGAAGATAAAACCAAATTTAGACATCTAATCACATCATGGGTCATTGATTTTTATTTTGGAATCCCCATTTTGTCATCTTCTAGGGTTTTAATCTGTGCAATGCTTCCAAATCTTATCTTGTAATTTACTAGGTAAGCAAAGGATGCTCAATGCCTTTCACGCTTGCTTTTCACATTTTTTTCCTTCAAACAAAAGCAGCTTTTGGCTTTTTTTTAAGCTCCTCTCTCATTATTCAGAGTTCAAAAAGTGTTGTAGAAACAGCTTTGTTTCAACTTTTATAGAGATTAAGTTCCACCTCGACTTCCAATTTGATCTAGAGAAGACTGATAGCTCAAGGCATCCAACAAAGGCCTTCACATGGTGGGGTGGAGGCTGTGTCATCTCCATGCCAAAGCCGTTGAAAGCTACCCTTTTCTTTTTCCTTTTCACCTAATCCAAATAGTGTCACTATTTTAAGGGTGGTCCATAACTAATCAGTCCAGTTAAAAATAGTGTCACTATTTTTAGCGGCTCCTATTTAATTAATTTCTCCATTAACACTTAAAAAGTTCATATAAAGTTAAAAGTTAGAAGTTCTTTTTTATTTTTTTGTGAAGTAAAGTTAAGTTAGAAGTTGATAAAGGTCCAAGCATGGAAATTTCTTAGCATAATAAACCTTCTTTTTCTACTCGTGAACTGAACGCAAACCTTCACTTTCTACTCCGTATAAAGATGATTTTTGGGTCAAGCTTTGATGCCAAATTATGTCAAAGTCTTGCCTCTTCACATCTTATAGCCATTTACAATGTGGTCTTTTATTCTCCTTTGTCTTTGCACAGGTCATGCTTGCGTCACAGATAATACACCTTCAAAATATTATATTAAGGAAAATACTTGCCTCATTCCCTAGAAGTAATAACTACTTTCCTGCCAATCACAGTTTGAGATGTGCGTAGAGATTTTTCGTTTTTATGTTTTTAATGAATTATTTTTACACATGTGTCTGATAGTGTCCTTATATTAAAAAATAAATATAAAAAAAAAAAGAGTGTTTTTTTCTTCATGTTGGCCATAGTTAAGGAAGAGAAATGGCAAAGAAGAATGATGAGAATCCAACTCTCCCTATAAACCAATGAGAATAAGTGATCTATCATTGAACTTAGAAGGAAAAACAAAAAAAAAACAAAAAAAACTTGATAATTGAGTGTTGGGAATTATGATGGTTAATTTGTTACATCTTACAACTATTTAAATTGAAATGCTTTCACCATAAAGTTTGTAAAATAATAATAAAATAATGCACACATAATGTAAGCATTGCTTTAAAGTTTTTACCACCAACAGTGAATAATATTATCTTATTAAAAGCATGTTTAAATTGTATAGCTTATAGGAAAGCAAAGGAACCATCACATACAAATTACAATGATTAGATTATAATTTAGAAGAGATAATCAAAGATTAGAAGAGATCAACGAAAAACTTCCACCTCCTCCTATAAATGGGCTCCAACTTCCAACAGATTCATATCCCCAGTTTAATGACAAAAATACCCCTCTTTAATTTCCTACTCATCCGTCACTACCACACGCCACCCCAAAAGGCCAGCCCTGTAAATTCACATTAAAATCCAATTCAGTGTATCAGCTGCCAAACCAGAGAGAGATAAGAGATGGAAAGTCAGAGCCTCTCTCTATGTTCACGATAAGATTGTCACTTAGATTCCATTCTGTTCCGAATTTCCGATCAAACTGGCCAGAATCTTCGAACCCATCTCGCCGGAATCTAACCCACTTTGCTGTTACAAAATGTGTTAACTCCAAAAACCAATGAGAAACACAAAAATGGGGGAAGAAGAGAAGGGACCCAAAGAAACAGAGCAAAGCCCAGACTTGCCGGAATCTTCCGCCGGAGCATCGAGTCTCCGGCGAGCCGTTGAGTCCATATCATCTTTGATCTCACTCTCTTTTTCCATCAAAATCTTCGCAGCGAAATGGAATACAATAAGGACCAAGCTTGAAGATTTGAACTCTGGCCTAGCGGCCGTACAAAACTGCGAAACAGATGAAAATCCAGTTCTTTTAGGCCTAGTGTCGAACATATCGGGCACGGTCAACGAGTGCCACGGTCTTGCTCGGCGCTGCGTCGATCTTTCTTACAGCGGGAAGCTTCTGATGCAGAGCGACTTGGATATGCTCTCTGCAAAACTCGATCTTCACGCAAGAAACCTCACGGAGATTTACAACGCCGGCGTTTTGACTCACAGGTTTGCGATCGTCGTTTCGAGGCCTGGAAACGGAGCTTGCAGAGACGACATGAGGTTCTATGTGAGAGACTTGATGACAAGAATGAAGATTGGGGGCGCAGAAATGAAACGACAGGCTCTGCTTAATTTGTATGAGGCTGTGGTGGAAGACGACAGGTACGTGAAAGTCGTCGTGGAACAGAGTGACATTGTGAACTTGTTGATCAGCCTTCTTGATTCGCATGAGGCTGAAATCCAAGAATGGTCTGCGAAGGTTGTTTCTGTAATTTCTGGGTTTGGTTCATATAAGGTTGTTCTCATCGGAGCTGGGATCATAGCGCCATTGATTCGGGTGTTGGAGTGTGGGAGCGAGGTTGGGAAAGAAGGGGCTGCTAAGAGCTTGCAGAGACTGACTGAGAATTCCGATAATGGGTGGTCGATTTCAGCTCACGGCGGTGTCACAGCTCTGCTTAAATTATGTTCCGGTTGTGAAGGTGGTGATGTGAGAGCAGAGTTGGTTGGTCCTGCTTGTGGGGCACTAAAAAATCTTGTTGGGGTCGAAGAAATAAAGAGATTCATGGTTGAAGAAGGTGTAATTTCAACGTTTATTGGGCTTACACGGTCGAAAGATGAAGTTTTGCAGATAAATTCGATTGAATTTCTGCAAAATATAGCGTCTGGTGATGAAGCAGTTCGTAGCATGGTGGTGAAAGAGGGTGGAATTCGAGCACTGGTTCGTGTCTTGGAGTACAGATCAACTTGTTCTTGTAAAGTGAGGGAGATAGCATTAAGGGCAGTAGAGAATTTGTGTTTCGGTAGCACAAGTTGTGTTAGTGTTTTGATCAGGTATGGCTTTGTGGAGCAACTTATGTCCTTTCTTCGAAATGGGGAGGCTTCAATTCAAGAACTGGCGTTAAAAGTTGCAATTAGAATGTGTGCAAAATCAGAGGAAGCCAAGAAAGCACTGGGGGGTGCAAATTTTATGACAGAGCTGGTTAAGTTTCTTGATTCAAAGTCATTTGAGGTTCGAGAAATGGCGGCTGAGGCACTGTCGAACATGGTCTCCATCCCGAAAAATCGAAAACGATTCGTGCAGGATGATCGTAGTATGGGCCTCCTTTTGCAGCGGCTTGACCCGAAGCAAGGAAACTCAGGTAACAAGAAGTTCTTGTTCTCCATATTAATGTCATTGACAAGTAGCAACAGCGGGAGGAGGAAGATTGTGCATTCGGGTTATTTGAAAAACATTGAGGAACTTGCAGAAGCAGAAGTTTCAGATGCCAAGAGACTTGTGAAGAAGTTGTCAACAAACAGATTCCGCAGTATGTTGAGTGGAATCTGGCATTCTTGAACCAATGTAGCTTCGGTCTGTATTGATTTAATTTTGGTTTGCATTTTTGTTTATAAATTGTATATGTGCTCTGCTCAAGTTGGAATTCCATTTCAGTTTTGTTAGATCTTCTTTCACAATGGCAGTCTCACAACAGCTTTCTGATATTAAGATACTCTGGCATTGCTGCCACTACAAGGAATGAATGATAGGAGAGAATGCAGTTGCATTTATTTAAGTCAGATTGTTTATATAATATTTTGTTGGTGTATTATTAGGAAGGAGCACATGGGAAAACCATGGATGGGCATGTGAGTAGAGGCAGCCATGGTCTACTTCATCTAACCTTTGTGAAGAGAGAAAGATGGTGATAGATGAAGTCTCCTTACTGTGTTTGCTTCTTTTTTTTATATGACATTGTCTCTTGTGAAGACCTGCCTTTCAGCATCATGCAGAAACAGAACTGTAAATAACATTTCATGCATTTTTTTCCTTCTTTTTTTTTTTTTTTTAAAGTGTATTATAAAATCAAGATTTGTATTCAATGCCCTCCTGCTAATTTGAATGGTTTTTAAGTCTTAAACTCTTAATGAAAAAAAGAAAAGAATGCGAATTATTAGTTAGACAGAAATGGGGTTGGCTTCCATGCTCAAGTTGCGCATTAGGAAACAATGTAGGGTACATGGACTTGGACAAGCAGTAGACCATGAAAGTTTCTTCTGATTCTTGACAGGATGGGTATTGATTGTGTGTTTATGTTATGATTACCAAAAGAAAAACAGAAGTTGAGTGTTCATAATAACATGATCTTTGATTCTTTTTTCCCCCAATGCCATCGCCATGACAAAGTGACTAAGTTGGGATTGGCTTGCTTGTTTGGGCTTAGGTACTAAGAAGAGAAACCAAGAGCTTGTAGCCTCTATATATATATGGGCCTTAAAATCGGATCATCTTCAATTCTTCCTCCAGGGGTGAGCTTAATGGGTTTCGATGTTAACTATCTTATCATGGAGTCTCTGCTACTTGGCGCCTTCCCAGTCAGAAAGGGAAAAGCATCAACTTGATCTTGGTGGCTTAGGCTTTGGGTGCAACAAAATTTGAATTATTCTAGCGCTGGCTGGCTGTATTGAATTGGCTGTATTGTATTGAATTCTGCAGATTAATATTCTGGACTTACCTGCAAAAAGCAAGCTGAATTCATATATAGAGATAGAAATAATGGTCCCAACTAATTAGAGTTGGCCTTCAATAATGTTCAAAGCTTCATCAATGGTTTCATTAATCATAACTCTGTTAGTATTTCCTGATATTTTCACTTTAATTAAAATTTCGTTCGGTACGTATTAGATTCCTAATTAATTCACTAAGATATTTTCATTATTTTAACTATCATTAATATCAATAATAATTAATAATTAAGTTCATAAGGAGGAGAGTTTAACGGCACTCGCATGCACGTTCTTCTGTCTTGTTGTTATATGAACAAGTTGGTAATTAGTCACAAATCACAAAACAACAACACCAAGAAGATGATGATGAGATCGATGCCGGCTGATTGATGCTTGCTGGTTGAAGAATATATATGCACAAACTGCAAATTGGGCAACTTGCACACATTGGACTTCACGTACCCCTCCCTCTTCTCCTCCCCTCCACAAGTACTAGAAAGCGAAATGTTATATCAAATTCATGGCCACAAAAACTTGCAAAATCACGAGGACAGAAAAATCATGCCAATTGAGAACCAAAAAGTTAAGGGATCGTTTTTAGTTTTTAAATTTCTTTTGTTTTACTTTCAAACTTTAATAATAATATAATACAAAGTCTTCAAAACCTAATAATTAATATTATTAGTTACGTATGAACGTATGAACATATGAACATGTAATTTAGATTATCGCTTGTACTCAATCAATAAATAATTAAAATAACGTAGGAATGTTTAAGCTAATACGAAACAACAAGAAGCTAGCTAGCGTATACCCATGGGAACCTTGTCAAGTTGTCATAGTATCAAACTTTTCGTCTCTTGGATCCATGTTCTACGTCCTAGGATCAGCCATACTTTCAGCTACACAAATACAACTATTCCCAAATTAAATAAATGGGAACCATATCATCACCCTGACCAAATTAAATAAATGGGAACGATCCACTCAATATCAATATTTCATGCCATGTTGGTTGACTTTTCTTTTCTTTTCTTTCTTATTCTTGTATTTCTGGAAGTTGACTTGGAAGCGCTTACATATCTCTACCTTATCTTGTTTATAATATATATATATATATATATATATATATTTTAAAAGCAGATAATTGGGAGATAGAAGAATGCATGGAGAATTGGAGATGGAGGCTTTAGGCTTATCCAGTAGCTATGTGAGTCTTTAACCTTTAAATGCATATGGGAACGCTAGCTTGCTAATAGCTTTACATAAATAGCAATAGCTGGCTAGATTAATCCTTAATTGACCCTTAATTATAACCAATGATGGCTAAATGGAAATGAATGTGTGTGTTTGCTTTGCTTTGCTTTCTATTAATTGATGATTAATATCTTAATCTCAATCCAAATCACCGCATGTTGGAGAACAATATGGGGCAGATTCATTTAATATTATGATTACCATTGGAGCATCTTATCCATACATTAAGCAATGTGAACAAAACTTTTACACGTTTTTTCATATTTTCAAATGATTTTTTTATTATTTGAGATTGAATTAATGGATGCAAACTTTACGAAAAATAAATAATTAGCATTATTTATGGATTTCTACTCAAATGATATAAGATGAGTGGCAATGACGAGTTCTGATTCATTGTTGATCTTTTCAGTGTTCATTTTGTCCTTAACGCAAGAGTCACGATATATATGAAAATGAGACGAAAAAAACTTGATATATCAAAGGCTAAAACTCGGTAAACTTCAACGTAGTAAAATGAAAATGATCCTATTATTATTTATAAACATAAATGTAAGATAAACAACAACGCAACAAAAAACATATGCTCCTACTTTTATGCATTTTTTAACAGTATGACATATTTCAAATATTAGCATAAAGGGAAAAAGAAGGAAGAAGAGAATAAACATTAGAAGAAAAGGTTGAAATAAGAGACAATTAGACAGTCACAATCTAGAGGGCCCTTATGCCGGCCTGTAGATACGGTCACTAACAGAATAAATTCGAAATCAGATTAATTAATTTTATAAAATTGATCAACTTATTTTGTGTAGATGAGTCATAAGCTATTGATTATATGAAGTGAGTCTTTCATTTCCCGTAAAAGTTAGAATCGTCCTATGACTCTTTTGTTTTTATTTAAGTGACGAATACAAAATATAATTTTTCCGTGTGACACTCATATCGTATTTATTTATTATCGATCATATTGTTCGTTCATATTATAACGCGGAAGCAAGATTTTCGTTCACATGTGAACGCAGTCATGATACGTGTGAGTGACTCATGACAGCTTTGAAAAGTTGAGTTGGAGAGAAGAGAGAGCATGAAGCCACTGTCACTCATGATGAAATATGACTAGACGGCCACGATTGCAAATTTTCAACCGCAGTGGTTCCCACATCCGTTGCTTAGACTTTGTTTTTGTATGGGTCAAAGTCAAGCCACCAATGTTTGAAAATTGAAACCCAAAGCGATTTTATTTTTTCTTTTAGGCTTCTAAACTTTACAACGGTACAAATAAAATTAAATATAATATAATCTGTCCAACAGTCCAAGTGGGAACACTTGCTTCTGGGTTGTGGGAGGAGTGGCTATCTGTGAATTTATGGGATTTTTCATAAGCAATTAACATGGAGGTTTTTATTTATTTATTTTTGAGTTGAAATGGGGGATTAACCCCTAAATACATAAAAAATTAAATTACAGAGACATTACGAGTTCTAGAAACTCTTAAGACATTATCATCAAAGATAGTCTCAATCCAATTAGGAATATCATCAAATACAAAGAACCAAAAATCAAAATTATAACTACCCTTGGATAAACAGTGAGCCATCCTATTTTTCTCCATATAGATGTGGTCAATCACGCAATAATCACTTGTCCGAAATCAAACAAACTGACAGAAAAGTATATGAAACTGAAAGCAAACTAACCTCTAAACAGAAAAGTGAAAAGATTTGGAAGAAGATTTAGGGGCCCAGAGAATAAGTAAAAGAGTTTTCTTTCTCCTTTTAATTTTCAGTCGCTTTTCCTTTATTTGAGTTTTTTTTTATTTATAAAAGAAGACATAGTTCTTATTCATATTATAATCTAGCTTAATGAATTAAAACAATAACTGATGCATCTCATTCAATCCCCACAATTAGGCGACGTGTTTTTTTTTTTCTCATATAGTCTATTCTAAGCCTGATTTGATTATATTTTTGAGGATAATGCCATATGATCTCATATACTAATCATCTTGTGTTATGCCATTAATATCAAAATTAAACATCTTGTGGAGAACCTAGCAAAGTTAATATAAGTTTCTAAGGTAGGACTAGTTTTCATAAATGTTGTAAAACGCGTATCGAAACAAATTGGAAACATTTTAGTCTTGTGATGGAAATACAATGTTTGGAAATTAAAGCCGAATTTCTATATCATGCCTCATATATATTTCCTTTCACATTATATGGAATGAATATAATCAAGACACTAAATTGTTTGGGTAATCACACTCTCATGATTTGTTTTCTATAGTATGAAAGAAGCTGTAAGCGAAAATCTTGAATTTAGAATGTCTGAATTTACGTGTAGTCTCATCCTTATCCTTTACCACCAAATAACTGCGAGTTTGCATAGAAAATTGTATATCTGAAATACTATGCCCCAAATAAAATTCATGATTTTCATTACCCCTTTCCAAAACATAATTGAGAGATTGCTCAAACAGCAAGCCAAAAATTGTACCGTTGCCTCATAATAAAAGCCCTTCAAAGTACCAATTCACCAGAGAAAGGTAGGTAGAAAGAACCATTTGCATAAAACATTAAATAAAATAAAAAAAAGAAAAAGGAAAAATAAAGTGAGTACAGAGCTGCTCCTGCGGCTGAAAATCATTTTCCAGTCTTCGCTGTATTTTCCGCGAGTTGAGGAACAGACCACCCATGGATTGGTCCATGCCTGTCGTAACCCAAACCCACGTCATCTTGGCGCAGCCTCAAATACCCCGACCTCTGCTCTTAATTACAATACTACCACCCCGGATTCGGAAGTCGTATTCTTCTCGTGTGTATGCTCACCGACTGCTTTTCTGTCATTGTAAAAAGGCCTTTTAAGTCACGTACGTATTCTCTCCCTCTTTTATTACAATCCCATGATTAATGGGGGTATAAGTCGACGTACCAAAAAGATGTTTCCTACTAATCCAATCCAATCCTATTATCCAATCCA